TCGAAAACCTCTAGGCCATACTCGACCGGCAAGTCAAGAAACAACCAAAAAATCCATCTTCGAAGAGCAATCTACTCCAAGTTTTGAAGCAAGAGTGGGCGAAAATCTCACAATCTAAAATTGACGAGATGATTCTCATGATGCCCCAAAGGATCAACGAACTCCACAAAGCGAAAGGATGATCTACTAGATATTAATTAAATTATAAATATATCAATTCATGTGAGTATGACAGAAAATTTTCATTTTTTCTGAAAAGGTGATGTCTGTTTACTTGTGACCACACTGTGTGTATATATATATATTGCGAAATTTCGCCGATTAACGAAAAATAAGATAATAAGGATTATTCTTCTTGCTATAATGCTGTATATGATCCAAATGGTAATCGCCATAAAAGGTAACTTAGTATGTCAAGGACATTTCTTCTACATATTAAATATATATATATATATATTGCGATATTTCGCTGATTAACAAAAAAATAAGGTAATAAGGATTATTCTCCTTGCTATATTGCTGTCTATAATCCAAATGGTAATCGCCATAAACGTTTTCGCTATTTGATATAACAATTAAATTCCATATTTTTGAAATGTTGAAAATGTGTACATAAATGATTTTAATAAATAAAATAATTAAATTCCATATTTTTGAAATGTTGAAAATGTGTACATAAATGATTTTAATAATAATATTATCTATGTTACAGAAACACCCTCAAATTTGGCCATTTTTAACAACTTATACACATAAAAAAGGTAAATAGCAAGTGTTTTATATAGTTATAATTATATTTGTTAGAATATTATTTAAAATTCACATTGAAACTTGATTTTAAATCTCTCTTAATATTTTTTACTGAGATTATTCACATATATTTGAGGACTATGTAATATGTCGATCGCCCTCTTATTTTTACAGAAAAGTATTTAGTGTCACGTGACAAGGCTTTATTTCTTTCTCTGGACTTTAGCGGCCATCATGAAGGCGAGGGGGACGGTAAGAGCTTGAATAGAAAAAAGAGTTTTAATCCATATTACCAACATTATAATATAATTATCGTTATATTTTTATATGTAGTTTTATAAGTCGGTTCCGAGTGGATGGTCTTGTTACGTAAAAACGCTAAATTACCACATATCTTTGCTTGTATTTCGTTACTTTGCAGGCAAGGACATGGCGTGCCATGTGGCAATACTAGGCCTAACCGTAACTAAATATGATGTGTAACTGTAAGTGTATATAACAATAGGTTTAAAAATACAAAACTTTCCGGAGGCGCATGTATTACAGATGTTTAATGCTAATAAGTGGGTCAGTATAGGCAATATTTGACACGAGTAGTATAACTACAGTTTTAAATTGAATTTATATGGCACTTGTTTGAAAACTTGTTCCCCATTTTGTAATTTAAAACAGAAAACCTATAACCCTAGTAGTAGTAATATTAGTAGTGTAGACACTTAATTCAGTGCTATACCGCTTATCACGTTACTTTTTTCAGTTTTTGTCAATTCGCTACTGCAGTTACATATTTCCTTGTGACTGAAAAAATACCCAAATATTCTAAACATAGTATGTTTTAACTCTTTGTACTAAGAAGTCGGTTTTAAACTTTTAAGTAATTTTTATTTTGAAATTGTGGCGCTTAAACATTATTACTATATGCCTAATTCTAACGATTGCAAATATAAGCCATGATAAATGATCCATCATGTGTGCCAAATTATTTTCTAAATTAAAGTAATTGTTTTGCAAGTGGTTACATTGATGTGCAGAACTTTGAAAGTTTTTTTGAGTTGCCTATGTGGTAATGTCTAAGTATGAAATATATAATTATGAAATATATACACCTGGAAAAAAGTTAAGCACCCCCGTGTTTTTTTCAAGTGATTCAGATTCAACGTTCTTGTG